ATGTTCTTCACAGAGCAGAACAAACAATTCTAAAATTTATATAGAGCCAGGAAAGACCCCAAATAGCCAAAGTAATGTTGAAAAAGAAAACCAAATTTGAAGAAATCACAGTTCCAGACTTCAAACTGTATTACAAAGATGTAATCACTAAGACAGTATGGTACTGGCACAAAAACAGACACACAGATCAATGGAACAGAATAGAGAACCCAGAAATAGACCTCCAACTAAATGGTCAATTAATCTTCAACAAAGCAGGAAAGAATATCCAATGGATAAAAGACAGTCACTTTAACAAATGGTGTTGGGAAAACTGGACAGTGACATGTAGAAGAATGAAACTAGACTACTTTCGTACACCACACACAAAAATAAATTCAAAATGGATGAAAAACCTAAATGTGAAACAGGAAACTATCAAAATCCTAGAGGAGAAAAATAAGCAGCAACCTCTTTGACCTCAGCTGTAGCAACTGCTTACTAGACATGTCTCCAGAGGCAAAAGAAACAAAAGCAAAAATGAACTATTGGGACTTCATCAAGATAAAAGCTTCTGCACAGCAAAGGAAACAATCAACAAAACTAAAAGGTAACTGATGGAATTGGGGAAGATACCTGCAAATGACATATTAAAGGGCTAGTATCCAAATTTGATAAAGAACTTATCAAACTCAACACACAGAAAATTAATAATCCAGTTAAGAAATGGGCAGAAGACACGAAAGACACTTCTCCAAAGAAGACACACAAATGACTAACAGACACATGAAAAAATGCTCAACATCACGCATCATCAAGGAAATACAAACCAAAACCACAATGAGATACCAGCTCACACCTGTCAGAATGGCTAAAAATTAACAATTCAGGGAACAACAAGTGTTGGCAAGGATAAGGAGAAAATAGAACTACTCCTCTCACGCTGTTGGTGGGAATGCAAGCTGGTGCAGCCACTCTGGAAAACAGTATGGAGTTTCATCAAAACTTTTAAAGTAGAACTACCCTACAATACAGCAATTGCACTATTAGATATTTACCCAAAGGATAAAAAATACTGATTCGAAGAGGCACATGCACGCCCCATGTTTATAGCAGCACTATCAACAATAGCCAAAGTATGGAAAGAGCCCAAATGTCCATCACTGATGAATGGATACAGAAGATGTCATATATAAATACAATGGAATATTATTCCGTCATCAGAAAGAATGACATCTTGCCATTTGCGACGTGGATGGAAGTAGAATGTATTCTGCTAAGCAAAATGAGTCAGTTGAGAAAGATGAATACCGTATGATTTCACTTACGTGTGGAATGTAAGAAAAAAAACACAGATGGGTGGTTCAGTCTGCTAAGCATTTGACTTTGGCTCAGGTTATGATGTCATGGTTTGTGAGTTTGACCTCTGCATTGGGCTCTGTGCTGTCAGCCTGGAGCCTGCTTTGGATCCTCTGTCTCCCTCTCTCTCTACCCCTTCCCATGCTTGTGCTCGTTCTCTCTCTCAAAAATAAACACTTTTTAAAAAGATAGCATATCTTTAAAAAAAAAAAAAAGGAAAGAAAGAAAACAGAAGAACATAGCGGAAGGGAGGCAAAATAAAATAAGATAAAAACAGAGAGGGAGGCAAACCACAAAAGACTCGTTTTTTAAGTTTATTTTTTTACTTTGAAAGAATGTGAGTGGGGGAGGGGCAGAGAGAGAGGAAGAGAGAGAGAGAATCCAAAGCATCTCCACACTGTCAGTGCAGAGCTCGATGTAGGGCTTGAACCCAGGAACTGTAAGATTATGACCCGAGACGAAATGAAGACTCAGATATTTAACCAACTGAACCACCCAGGTGCCCCAAATTACAAGAGACTCTTAAAGACAGAGAACAAATTGACGGTTGATGGAGGTGACGTGGGTGATGGGCATTAAGGAGGGCACTTGTTAGGATATATTATATGTAAGTGAAGAATCACTAAATTCTACTCCTGAAACCAATATTACACTGTATGTTAACTAATTTGAATTTAGATAAAAATTTGGAAGAAAAAAATAAAGAAATGAAGAGATAGTTCATGTTTGTGGATAGGAAAACTAAATATTCTTGAGATACCAGTTCTTCCCAAGTTGGTCTGTAGATTCGATGCAATATCAGTGAAAATCCCAGAAAGTTATTTTGTGGATATTGACAAACTGACTGAAGTTTGTATAGAAAGTCAAAAGACCCAGATTAGCCAACACCGTATTGAAGGAAAAGAACAAAGTCAGAGGACTGACATTACCCAACTTATCGCAAAACTACAGTAGTCAAGACAGTATGACGTTGGTGAAAGAACAGACAAAAGTATCAGTGAAACGGAAGAGAGAGTCCAGAAATACGCCTGCACAATATAGTCAACAAGGAGCAAATGCAATTCAATACAAAAAGAATTGCCTTTTTTAGGGGCGCCTGGGTGGCTCAGTCGGTTAAGCGGCCGACTTCGGCTCAGGTCATGATCTCGCGGTCTGTGAGTTCAAGCCCCGCGTCGGGCTCTGTGCTGACAGCTCAGAGCCTGGAGCCTGTTTCAGATTCTGTGTCTCCCTCTTGCTGACCCTCCCCTGTTCATGCTCTGTCTCTCTCTGTCTCAAAAATAAATAAAAACGTTAAAAAAAATTAAAAAAAAAAAAAAGAATTGCCTTTTTAACCAATAGTGCCGAAACGACTGGACATCCATACACAAGAAAATTAATATAGACAAGCCCTTATATCTTTCATAAAAAATTAACTGGAAGTGGGTACGTGACCTAAATGTAAAACACAAAACTGTGAAACGCCTAGAATGTAGGAGAAAATCTCGTTGACTTTGGGTCTGATGATGACCTTTTACATACAGCACCAAAAGCATAACCCATTAAAGAAAAAAATGACAAGCTGGACTTCATTAAAATAAAAAAAAAAAAAAAACCTGCTCTGCAAAAGACACTATCGGGAGAATGAAGACACAATCTACAGTCTGGGAAAGAACCTTTGTAAAACACACATCTAGTGAAGTAGTAGAACCCACAATAGAAAGAATTTTTAAAATGACAGTAAAAAAAAACAACCTCATTTTAACATGGGCAAAGTATATGAACAGATATCTCACCAAGAAGAGCCACAGATGTTAAATAAGCATATGAAAAGATTTTCAATATCATATATCATTAGGAAATTTCAAACTGACACAATGAAATACTACCACGCACCTATTATAATGGCTAAACTCCAAGACACTGAGAGCACCAAATGCTGGCAAAGATTTGGAGGAACAAGGACTCTTATTCATTGCTGGTGGAAATGCAAAATGGTATAGCCACTTTGGATGACAGTTTGCTAGTCTCTTACAAAATTAAACATACGATACAACCCGGCAATCACACTACTTGTATTTACTCAAAAGAACTGAGAACTTATGTCACACAAATACCCACACATGTATATTTATAGCCACTCTATTCATAATTGCAAAAATTAGAAGTAACCAAGATGTCCTTCAGTATGTGAATACATAAACTGTGGTACATCCATACAATGCAATGTTCAGTGATTTAAAAAATAAAAAAGGCACTATCAAGCTATAAAAAGACACGGGGGAAACTTAAGTGCACGCTGCTATGTGAAAGAAGCCAGCTGAAAAAGTTGTATGTGCTGTGTGAGTCCAACTGTATTACATTCTGGAAAGGCAGACTGTAAGACAATATACAGATCATTGGCTTCCACAGTTTTAGGGGGAAGAGGGATGAGTAGGTGGAGCACAGGGGATATTTAGGGCAGTGAAGCTATTCTGTATAATACTTCGCTGGTAAATGCATGATATTATGCATCTGTCAAAACCCATAGAACCGTACGACACGAAGAAAAAACCCTAATGCAAACAACAGAATTTAGGTAATAGTCATTTATCAATAAGCTTATCCATTGTAACAAATGTATGTACCACACTAAGGGTAAGATGTTAATAAAAAGGGAAACTGTATACACATGAAGGGGGGGTGGGGGGCAGGGAGAGCTGGTGTATGGAACTCTGGACCATCTTTTTGTAAACCTAAAACTGTTTTCAAAAATAAAATCTATTTAAAAGATAATGATTAATAAATAAGATAAAGTCTATTAAAAACATATCTCCAGGGGCGCCTGGGTGGTGCAGTCGGTTAAGCGGCTGACTTCAGCCAGGTCACGATCTCGCGGTCCGGGAGTTCGAGCCCCGTGTCGGGCTCTGGGCTGACGGCTCGGAGCCTGGAGCCTGTTTCCGATTCTGTGTCTCCCTCTCTCTCTGCCCTTCCCCCGTTCATGCTCTGTCTCTCTCTGTCCCAAAAATAAATAAACGTTGAAAAAAAAAATTAAAAAAAAACATATCTCCACTTTCCTCAACGTAATTTCCGTATTTTTATTCAAACTACGTTCATCTTTTGCTTCTTGCCCGCCTTCAAATCTCATTCAGCAAAAGGAAGTTCATTCAGCAGCAAAAGGAAGATTTTTTTTTTTTTAATTTTATTTTGAAGTAATCTCTGCACCCAACGTGGGGCTCGAACTCACAGCCCCGAGATCAGGAGTCAGTCACAGGCTCCTCAGACTGAGCCAGCTAAGCGCCCCAACAAAGATTCTTTTTGATAAAAACAGTTGTCTTCTCTTTAGCTTTAAATACTTCTGCCGTTCCCCACCTCCTTCAGAGAACAATTCTGAACCCTTCACAGGAGCCCCCAAGCCCGCCATGGCCTGCTCTCTGTGCTCCCCTCTCAGCTCTTGCCCACAAAACCTACCCAGGGGAAGGGCTGCTGAGCTGCCCGCAGCTTCCCAAGGGCACCCGGTCTCCACTCCACTGCCCTCCCTCCTCCCCCACCCTCTGCTCAGAAGAGACCTACTTCTCCTCTGCTCTCGCCTGAAATATCTTTTCCTCCAGGAAGCCATACCAGTTCGAACCAAAATGGGCCCTGACAACCTTCAAGTTTAGAAACAGACTTTTATGGATTTCTAATCGATACGTCTGATAACTCACCTTATGACATCTTGGTAAGAGCCTCAAAAATGCATCCCAGACTCGATTTCAGCTTTAACGGATGAAACGAAAACATCTGAGGGAAAAAAAAAACAAAAAACAAAAAACCACCACTCAGCCATATGTGTGTGATCAGCTTTCCAAGTGCAAATGTATCTGGGCTGGATATCAGCCTGGATCCCGGTGAGGACTCCCAGGCTCCAATCCCATGTCATAACCAAAACAAAGTTACAGTGACCCCCGGGAAAGTTGACAGGTCATCACAGCTGTTCTGGTGTGGATTCGGGCAGATTACTCTAGGTGATAGTGACTATTACTATACGAATAGCTCTGGAGTATTAAACAGGCATTAAAAAATAATCCAGCCGCACATAAAGAGTCACTGAGGCCTGGGAGGGTGAAGGGAAGAGTCAAAGCTAAGGTTAAGGTTTAAATTAAGAACATGCTTGGCCCTCAAGAGTTCAAGCAGGAGAAGAGGCAAACATTTTATCAAACACTGGAGGCTAAAGCAGGAAGAAGAGATGGACATACTTTTTCTGAACCAAATTCATTAAAGTGGCCGGCACGTCTGCTGGAGGTGATGATACCTGCACCACCTCTAAGTCGCTGGGCCTGCCTTTGTCAAAAACTTGTAGATGGCAGGCTCAGATGTTAATTCTTTGAAACCCGAGTTGAGAGGCAGAGATCCAGACGAGAAATGGAAACGGGGAAGTGGTAACTGAAGAATGTCAGGCAATGTAGGCAACTAGAGAAGGTGATAATAGTCCTCCTCCTCAGTCTCCCCAGGCATGCAGCATGGCCTGAAGCTCCATCAAGTGCAGGGGGGTGGGGGGTCGTGCTGACCTCATTGTACAAGAGACCATACCCACCTGGCCACTCCTACTGATGCCTAGACACAGTCATCTGCCCCCTGCTTTGGACCCTCCAATACCTTTTCTGTACCCTCTCTGTAGCACTGATTCACTCATTCATTTATTCTTTCATTCATCATTCTTTCAATAATATAGGGACCAGGCACTATAGATACAGTGATAAACAGAACAGACAACATCCTCGATCTCATTAAGCGAACATTCTAGCTAGAGAGATAGACAAAAATAGACAAACAGACACGTACAAAATACTACCAGGGAGTAGTAAGTACTGTGAAGGAAAACAAACCTAGGGTAAGAGAACAGAGGGTGCTGTTTTAGATACAGTGGCTCAGAAAAGCCTCCTAGGAATAATACGACCATATGTTATTTTCATATGGCAATTCTATTTTTAAATTTTGTTGAGAAGCCGCCATGCCATTTCCACAGCAACTGCACACCATTTTACATTGCTGGAGTTTTGAAGGATCATTCTGGCCGCTGAGTAGAAAATAGATCGTAGTGGGGGCAGGAATGGAATCAGGGAACCCAGTGAGGGGCCATTACAGTATTGCAGGCAGTCAGTAAAATGTTGACTAGAATGCCTTGCTGGCCAAGGGGCTTAGAAAACTAACGATGGCACCAATCATGTTGCTGCTGGGCTTGGTATTAGACCATCAACAGGACTACAGTGAGCTCTGGGCATGAGTGGCTGATTCAGTTCACACTCTGCTCAGTCAACAGTCTCCATGGGAACACTGCTGAATTGGCTGGAGACTGAGGTATGACTGAAACCACAACAACATCTCACACGCGAATACCCAGCAAAAGAAAGTGGGAAGCAAGGCAGACACCTCCTTTTGGAAACTGATTTGCAAAGGAAGACAGGAAACTAAGAGCCCTGGAAATGCATCACTAGTTACAGATTCGGCTCTTCCTTTTGCCGTTAACTGTAACTTCAAGGCCAGACTAAAGAATGCAGTTTGTTCTCTTTAAGAAGAAAACTGTCACTTCTTATTTGTGTTTAGGTACAGGAGCCCTGGAAGGATTTGGAGATAGACAGAACTGTGATTTCTCAACCTCACGGTTGTTTCTAACAATGTTCAGTTATTTTATTTCTGAGGGAAACCTGCATACATTTCCCTCAGTAGATCTAAATACTCATCAAGATTGTTTGGTTAATGATGACATTTAACGAATGGCTTCCGTTTCACCTTTTCAGACTATGATCCACAAATCCTTCCCGAGACCTAAAGAGTTCTTGAACTTTTAAAATGACAGGTATTTCATTTAAAATTACTGACCTAAAACACTTTAGATAATAAGAGGAGGTTATTTATTTTAATACAGTGATCTATTTTAGTCTAAGAGTACAATACGGGCAGTTAGAGGAGTTAAGCCTGGATGAAAAATAAGACCAGTCTAATACCCTGCCAACCAATTAACAGCTTTTCATTTGCAGAGAGTTAATATTCCATACCTCTAGAAGAGTCTTCGAACCAAAACCACAAAATCTTATCACTGGTTGTCTACTGAAATTCACTCTCCTGTTGGATTGTACATAATCCCAGAGGCTCAGTTGAGAGAGGGTGGATGAGGAACTCTCTCAAAAAGGTTACCAATGCATAAATGCATAGATTGAGTGGCTGGGAAAAAACTGGGGAGGACCTATAAGGTTTTTGGAAGCATTTCCTCATCAAAGTACTTGTTTTTTATCATAAAATATTTCCTAACACATTCATATGTTTCCAGACTTGTCGATATAACAATTGCAATAATCATTTGTGTTTCATTGTTTAGTTTACAGAAATTTCCTTACACATCCTCTTGTTTAAAATGGAAAAGACCTCTATGAGGTAGGTGGCCCCATTTTCTAGTGTTAAAAATTTAGGTGTCTTACTTAAATCGCACACCTTTTTTTTTTTTTAATGTTTATTTATTTTAGAGACAGCGAGACAGAAAGTGAGTGGGGGAGGGGAAGAGAGAGAGGGAGACACAGAATCCCAAGCAGGCTCCAGGCTCTGAGCTGTCAGCACACAGCCCAACACAGGGCCCACAAGATCATGACCTGAGCTAAAGTCGGACGCTAAACCAACTGAGCCACCCAGGCACCCCAAATGGCACACCTTTTTATCTTAAACATTTGGGGCAACAAGTTACCTCAGAAGATACTTGTGTAAATGATTTTGTTTCAGTTTTAGGGACATGGAGAGGAGGATTTTTTTCTTTTAATGAAGACAGTATTTTTATTCAAAGAAAAAGAATCTTAAGAGTGTGCATGTTATAACTTGACAATGTGGTGCTTACGCATGCTTTGTGGCTCGAAGGAAAGGCAGCATAGTATAATGGTTTATGCTCAAGCTCAGGTATTAATGGCCCTGGCTGCTGCTCCTGATTCTCCTTGTGACCTCAGGGAAGCTCAATAACTGAAGCCTGAGTTTTACTAGCAGGCAATGTGGAAAAAATAGTAGCGCCTCCCTCTCAGGGAGGCTATGGGAACTACTGAATATAATATGGCACATATAATATGGCACCCAGTGGCTGGCACACAGTAGGTACCCCATGAGAAGTGGCTCTTGCGAGGACTCCTGTTCATACCCCAGAACTCCTAAAAGCTAGTGGGATGTGAGGTGACACAGTCCAAATGGAGCCGCCAACTTTGAGCTCAGGGGGTCTACTTACTGCCACATGATAGGCATGAGGGGCTTAGAATTCAGAACAGGGCTATGGCAAGGAAGCAGGTTGGCACAGATCGGGGAAATACAGGAAACAGATTTTTCCCTTCCTGGCCTCGTAAAGACTGCTACTGGCAAACACCTTCTTGAACTCATGGAGCACGCCCCACCTGACTGTATCTCTCTGGCTCACCATTAGTGAGATCGTTTTTGAGAAGCAAGTATTTACTCTTTATCCATTCCATTGCCTAACCTATTTTTAGGACTCAAGAACTCTTTGGGGGGTTTTTTAATCAAATTTTATTTTATCATTTTTTTAAATCACTTCTCCTATCCTAAAAGCAAGGTATAACTCGTGGCTTATCTTTAATTCTAAGAATTTCAAGTTCATCTTACTCTAAAACTTTGATATCTTTTGATGTTTTATAGATACTAGTGGCACTAGAATAGAAGCTGTTTCAGGAACCCACTAAATGTTGATTGAATAAATGAATGCGAGGCATATAAAGCTGTAGGAAAGTTTAAAATGACCAGCTAAGGAATATATGCTGGCCCATGCACTTGAAATGTCTGCTTAGGAGGTGTCCATAATGATAAAGTTGTACCGTTAAGAAGAGTGAAAGTGGCCCCACAGCGGGTGTGACCTTAGGACTTTTACATATACCCCACCACGCAGAAGTATTTTCTACCTCTCTTTCTCTTGCACCTTCCCCACCCCCCTCCTCCACTTCCACAGATATCACTGAGAGAGTATACTCGTATCAGGAAAACCAGCGACCTGCCAAAATAATTTTGTTAGGGGAGACTTTCAGGGGTTCTCAAATAGTGCCCTTGTTTGCAAAACTTCTGAACGAATTAAGAAGTAAGACAAAGGAGAATGGCAGATGGCAGGCCAAAATGTTACACGTGCTACTTACTGGTTGTACAGATATCACTAATTGCCCCCAAATTTGCTCTTTTTCTTTGGGATCACACTTCCCAGGCACCCTTACAGCTAGATCACATTACCCGCATGGCTCTGGTCTCTACAATGGAATGTGAATGGATGTGATGTCCCTACTTGCAGCCCAGGCTCATACGACTTCCCATTCATGCTCCTTCATTCTCTTTGCCCTTCTTGTGGGCAAGTATGGAGATACTCGGGGAGATTCTAGAAGGCACACGTTGAGGAGAGCAGAACCAGAACGACTGCATGAAGAAGTGCCATCCCACCGACCTGAATACCAGCCGTGTGCTGTTGGGAGACAAAGAAATAAACCACTTGTCCTTTGGTCACTAAACATTTGATGTCTTCTATTACTGTAGCTGAACTTACCTTAGCTAATGAGAAACTGACTTTAAAGACTGTGTCTTTTATCCACGCACAAGTAAATTCGAGCATCAAGCAATCTTTTCCACCCTGAACCTCTGACCAGGGTTTTCCCCAGGATCTTCCAACCCCTGCCCCACATGCTGGCAGGAGCCCAGCAGAAATCCTGCCCCAGTGATCCTCACTGGAATTACAAGTAATTCCTCTCCGGATAGCTGCTTCTGGAAAACACTTTTGAATGGTTACTTATAGAAGAATAGAAGGAATAGGATCGGGGAATGGAGATAAAAGGGAACAAACAAGTAAAACAAGAAGGAGTGGGGGAATAAGCTCTTTCATATTAGCCTGGACTCTAATCCTGATCCATTCCCACCTCTACTTCTGCTCCACGGACTCAATTTTGGCATCCTGTCCACACGCTCCCCAGCATCCAATCTTGGCTTGCCCTGGAATGATCTTTCCTTTTCCATCTCAGCCCACGCAGCTGGGAATTCTGCAGCAGCATAAGTCTGCCAAAAACAATAGCCTTCCTAAATGTCCAACAACAAGGGAATTGGTCTATAAATTATGAAGCATCCAGTCAATGGAGTATTATTCAATCATTAAACATGATAAACAGAAAGCCTTTGGAAGAACATGGAAAATGGCCCTGAAATAAATGTCACTGAAGTTTTCCTCTCCTGAAAGCAGGCCCTGCAACTGCATATGCAATATGGCAACAACATTAAAAAATTGTCCATACGGGAATAAAGCTATGGATTTTTTTTAAATATGTGAAATTTATTGTCAGACTGGTTTCCATACAACACCCAGTGCTCATCCCAAAAGATGCCCTCTTCAATGCCCATCACCCATCCTCCCCTCCCTCCCACTCCCCAACAGCCCTCAGTTTGTTCTCATTTTTTAAGAGTCTCTTATGAATAAAGCTATGGATTAAACTTGAAGAAAGAAAAAGCAATTGTTGGGTTAGAATAGTGGGATTCAACTATTTTTTTTTATTGTTTAATTACAGCTATTCTATGTCTAAATGATAAGATGTTCAGCCTTTGCCATCCTACTAGGAGAGGAGAGGAGAGGAGAGGAAAGGAGAGGAGAGGAGAGTCCTCCCACCTCTCCTTGCCTTCAGTGCGAATCACTGCAGTGGAGAACAGAGGGTAGCCAGGCAGACGCTGCAGGAGGCGCCTAACTCCGGACACCCCATGCTCTGCACCGATTCGGAGTCTGAGCACAAGTCCTGCGGTTGCTTCCATATGTCCTTGCTTTATTTTTAAATGTTTTAAGATTGGAAGCATTTTGCATTCTGATGGTGGTGTTGTCTCCCTTGGTAACTCAGACACCCAAATAGAAATATGGTCAGACTCCCTCCCTTCTGATGAGCCCAGTTAATGTGACATTGTTTTATAGGAGTAATGGGAAATCGATGTCCTTAGATCATCTGAACGGATTAACATAACCCTGTTGACAAAACTTGTGAATGTGGGATTTGCATTCCTGTCATAGTTCAAGAAGGTAATGGGGTCAACTTTTAACTGTTTCTGTCACCTTCTTGAAATGTACACAGAGAATGCCTACGTGAAAAGCATTCAGGGGTGCCCGGGTGGCTCAGTTGGTTAAGCATCCAACTCTTGATCTCGGCTCACAGTTTGTGAGATCGAGCCCTATGTGGGGCTCTACAATGACAGCTCGGAGTCTGCTTGGGATTCTCTCTCTCTTTCTCTCTCTCTCTCTGTCTCTCTCTCTCTCTCCCTCCTTCTGTCTTCCCTTCCTCTCTCTTTCAAAATAAATAAATAAATAAATAAATAAATAAATAAATAAATAAGCAAGCATTCAGTACCAGTAGGATGCAAATTAATGCACATTGCACATGTTTCTTACTTCAAAATATCTCAAAAAGCTTAATAGTTTATCACCACCCTCCCCATCTCTATCCCAGTGGCTCTGTCCTCTCAGGTAAGGGGAAAAGGCAATGTATCATTGTCATTCATGCACCAAGCCCTTATCTTGGCTTCCCTAATGTGAAGTCTGTGAGAGGAACCTTCCTGGGAGACGAACTCCTGGCTCCAGGCTTTGCAGAATGCCCATGCAGTTAATGTAACTTCAGACAAGGCACTAAGACAAAGGATCGAGAAACCCATGCTGGGAGCATGTTAGGGCAGAAGAATAGAGAGTGACAGCTGAACAAACCGTAGGTATTCTTGCTCAGGGGGATGAAGACTGAAAAAACTGTAATCAGCCACTGGACGAGATTAATGAATTTTTGCCTGGGGATTCTGACCCTAAAACTCATTTCTCAGTTCAGTGGGGGAAGGAACAAATCCTGGGCAGCTAACAGATGTACGGAACATGCTGTGTGCAGTGCCCACCAAAGAGAGGACTGCCCAGGACAGCAGTCTTCCCTGTGATCTCACACCCAGCGTCTGCTCAAGGCTGGCTAGAGCTGGTCCGGGCACCAGAAAACCACTTAACCCCTTTTCCAATCTCTTATCACTGCCAGCCCTCTTTTCTGATCTTGTCTTGTGTTGCCTATAGTTTCCCAAAGCACTACCGCCTTCTTTTTTTTTTCTTTTAAATGTTTATTTATTTTTGAGAGAGATCACGAGTGGGGGAGGGGCAGAGAGAGGGAGACACAGAATCGGAAGCAGGCTCCAGGCTCTGAGCTGTCAGCACAGGGCCCGACACGGGGCTCGAACCCACGGACCGCGAGATCATGACCCGAGCTGAAGTCGGACGCTCAACCCACTGAGCCACCCAGGTGCCCAGTGAAGCTTAATTTATAAGTTAGGCACAGTCAGGTATTAACAGTAACTAATAACAAAATAGAACAATTACAGTGATGCTCTAGAATAAAAGTTATATGAATGTGGTCTCTCTCAAAATAACGTCCTATGCGGCACTCACCCTACTTGTTGCCGTGGTGTTTGTCGTCAGATGGTAAAATGCCCCCACGATGAGAGGAAGCGACGTGAACGCGGTAGGCACTGTGACCTAGGCACTGTGACGTAACCACTGTGACGTAGCCTTCCGCGGCTCTTGACGTTATGACGCTACTGCGTCAAAAGGAGGGGCATCTGCTTCTGGAGGGAGGTTGACCCATCCCGGGAACTGAAACCTTGCAAAGCAAAACCAAGCTAAAACCCTCCACAAGGGGGGGACCGCTGCGTTTGTTCACCGCTCTAGTCCAGTTCCCAGCAAACACAAGCATCCGGTAAGGACGTACTGAGAGCTCAACGTCCTCAAACATTCTTTAAACGTTATCTTTAAAACGTTCTTCCCAGAGATGCCCGACTCCTGCAACCTCCTGGAAGGGTTTCCCCTCTCCAGCAACCGCAAGTGGGAGAGAGGCGGAGCTATGAAGTTATTCTGCACAAGAAATAATCTTGCTTTTTATGTTGATTTATTTTTGAGAGAGAGAGAGACAGAATCCGAAGCAGGCTCCAGGCTCCGAGCTATGGGCACAGAGCCCACCGCGGGGCTCGAACCCACAAACCCTGAGATCATGACCTGAGCCAAAGTGGGACGCTAAACCGATCGAGCCACCGGGGCGCCCAAGAAATCATCTTTTTAATTACCCTCTGCGATGGTCCTGATTCTCGGTGGCATGCTGTGGGGTTTGAGCAGCAAACACAGGACATGGTGGCATTTTGGAGGGATAAACCCAGCTAGGAGGCTCCAGCGTGTGATGCGGAGCCTGACACCGAATCAAATAACAGCTGGTGTTACTAAATCTGAACGTCCCCATGCCAAGCAAAGATGGAGGCGCTCACTACCGGCTACAATGAGCTGGGAAGATTTAACAGGAGCCCCAAGCTGCTTTCTGCACGTGACCGTCACACCCCCTTAACTTAACTTTTTTTTTCCCTCATTGAAATGGAAAATTCTTGTCTTGTACTTGGAAATGCAGCATTTTCTTCGGAATTCATTACAATTTTGTAGTGATACTAATTCTGGTTTACGATTTATGAATCTAATTAGGAAAAGCTTCTTCCTGCCTTTCATGTTGAGTTAATGAAATGAAATGTCAAAACGCACACTGAGAAATTTTTTAAATCCTCCGGTTAACTTCTGTCACCACACATAGTTACAAAGTTTTTTTTCTTGTGATGAGAACTTTAAATATCTACCTCTTAGGAATTTTCAAATACACAATACGGTATCATTGACTATAGTCATCGTGCAGTACACTACATTCTCATGATTTATTTCTTTTATAACAAAAAAAAAATTCCTCTAATCAAACCCTGATTTCACCAAAGAAATGCTGCTAAGATACTTAGAAATTTAGAAATGAGAATTAACACTATGAATTTTGCCTCTTTTCAGGATGCAATGCTTTTGCTGTATTTGTGAGTTAAATTCAAGCAAGCTCTTACCAAGAAAGCAAGCTGTGTCAGTATAGAGGCTGGACAAAGAAGAAAGTAATGAGCTATGAAAAAGTCCTGGTATGTCAAAAGTAAGAGGTCTTAAAATTCACTGGTAGACCTTGAAGCCTCTGTTTCTATTTCCAGCAGATGATTATCAATATTTTAAAATTCAACTGAAGTGAATGTTGCAGAACTCAAAAGAGCCAATAAAATCTGGGCAATTAAAGGAAAAAAACCCAGGCTTCAGAAGTTTACAAATTTGGCCTCACTAGTAGGGTGACCCAACTGCCCTGGTCTGCATGGAACCGAGGGAGGGCTTTCTCAGGACCCAGGATTTTGGTGCTAAATCCAGGGCAATCTCAGCAGACTGGGATAGCTGGTCACCTACTTTCTAGTTCTGGAAGTTCCTAGCTGAAAAACTTCATTCCAATTACCTGCCCCAACTACACTTTCCTCCCCTCTAAAATGGAAAGAATGGGTTGTTTTGAAAATTTTAAATATAAGTATAATTTCTGGGACATTTAAATGAGACTTGGCACTCCATCTTGCTGATAGACATTTTCAGCAAGAAGACCAGAATTTCACCCAAACTTTATATTTAATCTTTTATCAATTGAATAAGGAATTTTGTATTATTTTACTACATTCTTTTTCATGTAGCCAAGTATACACTTCACATTTCAAAATGTTTTTCAGTTTGAAATTATAAATCCTGTCTAATGTTTAGAATCTGAATATAGTCATGGATTTCTTTTAAAATTCTTTCCAAAATTGATTTTATATTGATTTCGGAGAAGAGAAAATGTTCCCTCTTTCTGCATGCATATTCTGAGAACTCATTAAAAAGCCTGAAGCAGGCTAATATAGGAACGAACATTCACCATCTTTGATCATAGTAAACTACAGACAAATCTAGATTGATGTCAATATATAAAGACTGTGATGGGGCAGGGAGCAGGACTGTGGGCCACCAACAGTTCTGTCACATGCATGTCTGACTTGTAAACAAAGCAAATCCTTGGGGTCAGTGTGAGAGGTGTTGAGAGGTAGGTCCAGTTCAGAAAGGAAATTTCAAGAATTGCATAAAGGTACTTCAGGAATTGGCTGCAGTCCTAATAAGGAACCGGAGGGGGAATCAGAAGAAACACGATGTTCTTGAGACAAGGTAGTCAGGAGGGAGCAGGCTGTTACTATGACAGCAGGTTGGGACAGGCCAGGAACTAACATCATGGGATCAGGTGGCTACTGAAATCTGATGTTTTCAAAAGACTTTCTTTAAAACCAAACTTAGTTATTTTTAATCAATTAATCAATTTATGGGAGGCCTTTTCCGCCCCATGTCTACTATTTTTTAAAAAATTTTTGTGTGGGGTGCACCTGGGTGGCTCAGTCGGTTAAGCATCCAACTTCAGCTCAGGTCGTGATCTTGCAGTTTGTGAGTTCAAGTCCTGTGTCGGGCTCTGAGCTGACAGCTCAGAGCCTGGAGCCTGCTTCGGATTCTGTGTCTCCCTCGCTCTCTGCCCTTCCCCGCTCATGCTCTGTCTCTCTCTCAAAAATAAGTAAACATTTAAAAAAATCAATAATAAAATAATAATAAAATAAAATGTTTGTGTGTGGAAGAATATGTGCTTCCTAACCAACCTCCTTCCCATGCATGTGGGAAAATAAGCTGAATGAAGAAGAAAGTTCTAAGCAACTTCTTCCACCATAATTCATACCTGATATAGAAAGCATGAAGATGATTCATAAGAGAGGGCGGATTTTTTTTTAAGTTGTATTCTGGTAATAAAATTACAAGTGATCCCAATAAGAATCAAAGAAAGGGCACAGCTAAAGAGACCAATGTCCTTCAATAGTGAAGTCGCTAGAAAGTCACATTTCAGGAGGCAAGGGCAAAAGAGAAGGGTCAGTGGGAGATATCATACAGAGGAAAAAGAGAGCAGGAATTGGTTTGAATCTCTAAAAATTGGGGCGCCTGGGTGGCGCAGTCAGTTAAGCGTCCGACTTCAGCCAGGTCACGATCTCGCGGTCTGTGAGTTCGAGCCACGCGTCGGGCTCTGGGCTGATGGCTCAGAGCCTGGAGCCTGTTTCCGATTCTGTGTCTCCCTCTCTCTCTGCCCCTCGCCTGTTCATGCTCTGTCTCTCTCTGTCCCAAAAATAAATAAACGTTGAAAAAAAAAAAAGTTAAAAATGATGTTAAAATACTGAAAACCTTCAAAGAGCTGAAAAATGTCGAGCATGCTAAGAGAGCAAACAAACGTTTTTTGTTATATTAAAAGTAAATAGATTAACAAGAAATTTTATTTATCAGCTGCCTGGTCTACTGATGTAGTATTAACAGATGATGGTAAGATAGAAAGGAGCTCAATGTGGATTTTACATTAGACTACGTCATCAGCAAGCTTGATTTTTATTCTGGAAAGGGTAGGATAAATATTGATAGATGGGTAAGGTATAATAAAGCAGCACCTGGCATCTTTGAAGTGGTCTGGTTCCCTGAGTGTAAAAAACACGTATTGTGGTGTGTGTTCCTTAAGAATTTGTAGTACTTTGTGGAATTATGGAGGCTGGATAAATATGTTCCTGCTTATCTAAAAACAGATGCAGATGATGGAGCTTGTCATTTATGGACTAGTGAGCTTGACATGAAATCGAGGCAAATTTCTGGGGTAGAATATTAACAGGTTGAGTTGTGAGCACATACAAGGGGATGTGGAGAATACTAGAAGATCCCACGGGACCCATCAAGAACAAATCATGCCCAACTGATTTCTCTCTCTCTCTCTCTCTCTCTCTCTCTCTCTCTCTCTCTCACACACACACACACACACACACACACAGACTTGATTAGTTGGTGAAATAAATGCTTCAGATGAATCTGAATTGCAAGAAAGCCTTGCACAAGGTCTCATGATATCCTTGTAGAAGAAATAGAAATGTCTAGAGAGAGTCTGAGGGCAAACTCCCACTCACTGAATGACCTTACCAAAAGAGTACAAGTTAATGCATTTTGTTTGCATTGGGGAGGTCTTTTCAACAGTTTAATTAATAACAAATGGTACCATTTTGATCAGATGTGTGAACTACACGGAAAGGGGAGGGATGCCTAATACATTAAAATGACAGCTTCTTGACATCGTTATAAGGGGAAAGTAGCTAGAAATTTTTTTTTTTTAAAAAGCTAATTTAACAATTTTACTTGCACTGTGGAGCACTATTAGACAGGTAGCATAAGATGCAAATGTGTTAAAAAAATATGTTACATGTTGAGAAAAGTCTATCAATTAATCTTTTCTGTGAATTGATAAGCAAGCACATGAATTAATTTTAGAAGCATAGTCTGGACAATTCCAGGTTCAACTGGAGCATAGTCTGAAAAGCATTGTATTGTACCTGGTAGTAGGTTGCTTATTTATTTACTTACTTACTTACTTACTTACTTATTTATTTCAGAATGAAGACTTTAGAAGAATTTCAAAGGGTGAGAAGTGTCCAGTTATAGGAAGGATAAGGTATGTCTGAACAGCATAGACAGGATCTGGATTTTCACTACCCAAGTATTAAACATTAATATTAGCGTTGGGA